AAAAAAAAAGAAAAAAGGATCACTTGAGCCCAAGTTGGAGGTTGGTGTGAGCTATGACACCACAAGACTCTACCCAGGGCAACAGCTTGAGACTCTGTCTCAAAAAAAAAAAATAGCTGGGCATTTTGATAGGCGCCTGTAGTCCCAGCTACTCGGAGGGTGAATTTCAAAACTTTCTTTTCTTTTCTTTTTTTTTAAAGTCTCATTTTGTTGCCCTCAGTAGAGTGCTGTGGTGTCACAGCTCACACCAACCTCCAGTGCTTGGGCTTAGGCGTTTCTCTTGCCTTAGCCTTCAGAGTAGCTGGGACTACAGCCAACCGCCACAATGCCAGGGCTGAGTTTAACCTACTACCCTCGGTATATGGGGCCTATGCCCCATTCTCTGAGCCACAGGGGCTGCCCTACTCTTTTGTTTGTTTGTTTTTAGAGATAGAGTCTCACCTTGCCATTCTAGGTAGAGTGCCATGGCATGACAGCTCACAGCAACCTCCAGTTCCTGGGCCTAGGCAATTCTCCTGCCTCAGCTTCCCAAGCAGCTGGACCACAGGCGCCCACCACAATGCCTGGCTATTTTTTTGTTGTTGCAGTTTGGTTGTGGCCGGGTTCAAACCCACTCAGCAATATGGGGCCAATGCCCCATTCACTGAGCTATAGGCACCACTACCACCCCCCTTTTTTTTTTTTTTGAGACAGTCTCATATGGATCTGGGTAGAGTGCTGTGGTGTCATTGTAGCTCATAGCAACCTTAAACTCCTGGGCTCAAGCAATCCTTTTGCATCAGCCTCCTGAGTAGCTAGGACTACAGGCGCCTGCCACAATGCCCAGCTAGGTTTTTTCCTATTTTTAGTAGAGATGGGGGTCTCGATCTTTCTCAGGCTGATCTTGAACTCCTAAGCTCAAGTAATCTATACCTACCTCAGCCTTTCAGAGTGCTAGGATTACAGGTGTAAGCCACTGGACCTGACCTCTTACTCTTTTTTTGGTCAACATAATTTAAGTGTGTCATGGAAGTTTAACTATAGGTTCAAGTGTTCCATTAGACAAAAAAGGCAGAAAAACACTGCTCTAGAGAAAGATACTTTCTCAGTCCAGGGAGGTGGCTCACAGCCTGCAGTCCCACCTACTTAGGAGGCCAAAGCAGGAGGGTCACTTGAACCCAGGAGTTTGAGGTTGCTGTGAGCTAGGTTGAAGCTATGGCACTCCCATCTGGGCAGCAAAGTGAGACCTTTGTTTCAAAAACAAAATAAAAGCCAGCCCCTCATTAAAATATTTCTAAGGTGGAAGAGGATATTTTTCAAGAGGAAAGTATGGCAGATGAGCCAGCTATAGTTCGCAGAATTGTAGTCAATTGGGTTTGTCCATACCAAGTGGTCCTCATTGTGGAAGCAGACAACAGAAAGTGTCACCTGCACTGAGGTGCAAACACTGTTGGTGCCCAACTTGCTTTTGGGCCTGAGTGTGAGGCAGGAACGCAGCCTCTAAGGTTAGAATGTGCATTAGTACAAACCCAGAACATGTTGAGTGGAAATGGTGGAAATACCTAGACATGTCACTTGCCCCAGCTGGTCAGCCAGCATCAGATATCCAAAGGTGCTGGCCCAGAACGTGGAAGAGAGGGCAGGGTCTCTGCTGTGCCCTCGCCACCCCCTGGCCCACCAGCACTGTCCCTAGTGGATGACTGCTGGCATCCTGTGAAGATGATGTTCCTGTACCTGCTTAGCCCCCACTTAGCCTCTGCTCATTGGCAAGGCATGTCCCCTATCTGAGGGATGGCCACTTTCAGAATGAGGCTTCATTGTTTTATCAGTGGCTCACATTTTCTCAGCAGTTATCTAAAGCTTACTAGAAGGGGAGAGAACCTCTTTGGCTTCAGTTGCAGGACCTTGGGGGGCTGCCATGGGGGAGCTGTCAGTGGTAAGTAGGGACAGAGAAATGGGTAGTGGCCTGGCCTGTTGAGAATGTTAAAAGATAACCCCAGCTCCTCAGAGGTTTAGCCATAGGGAACCAGAGGTAGAAGTCATGTGGTTGAGTGTGTTTGTGACATCCGGGTGTCTGCTCTGGCACAACAGGAGGACCTGGGTAAGACCTGTGCAGTGGTGCTGCATGTTGCCCCACTTGGGGGCCTCTGTATCCCAGGCCGTGCAGAGGAGGAGTGGTGCTTGCCATGTGTCTCTGTTTCCCACTCCCACGGCAAAGGAAAGCTGGGGAGGCAGGCAGAGCAACCCCTGTTAGAAGCTTTTTGCCAGGTTGTGTAAGATGCAGGGAGAAAGCAGTGGGCCAGGCCTGGAGGTGCTTTGTGTCCCCACTGTGCTCAGCAGCCTCCTGATGCCCCACTGGCTGAGAAGACTGAGTTGGAGCACAGACCAAGCCTGTCACTGATTCTCCAACTACTGTGCAGCCGTGGGCCGGCTACTTGACCTCTGAGCCAAGGGTGGGGAGTCCATAGACCTTATTGAGTTGTTGAATGAACAGGAGCTATTCCTTGCATAGAAGAAACTCACTCGGAGATAGCCCTCGGCACTCTGTAGAACAGACTGGGAGACTTTCCTGACTCCCTGGAAGCTGAAGACTTCCCACCAGGGATGAGGGGTAAGCAGAAACCAAGAGGGTGAAGCCATGTAGGCCACCACAGGGTGGACACACTGCTGACGACTGTGGCTATGGTCATAGACATCAAGGGGATGTCCAACCTCATCAAGTTGGCAGCACAGAGAAGAAGCTTAAGTGTATCTACAGAGTCTAGGAGAATAGACATTAGGAAGGCCTCCTGGGGTAAAGTGGGGATCAGTATACCCACTACAACACTACCCCAGGAAAGAGAACTCAGCATGGGCTCATGAGGCTGAGGCACCAGCAAGGGTTGTTGCCAATGATGATAGTAGCATGGGGCTGCTAGAGGAAGCTGCGGCCTGTAGTCCTGCTAGGAGAAGTCCTCCCCAGTGGTAAGTCCCTGGGCAGGTCTTTAGCCTCCTCTTTCTTGTCCCTGCACATCCCCTTTGTTCACAGTTCATACTCCCTCTGTGCCTGTCCCTGACCAGGAGATGTTGGGAGCCTCAGGTCCTGTCATCATTTTTTTTTTTTTGAGACAGAGTCTCACTTTGTTGCCCTCAGTAGAGTGCTGTGGTGTCATAGCTCACAGCGACCTCAAACTCTTGGGCTCAAGTGATTCTCTTACCTCAGCCTCCCAAGTAGCTGGGACTACAGGTGCCCTGCACAGCAACTGGCTTTTTTTTTTTTTTTT